GCCCTTGCTCTGAGATCACCGCATGTCCCGGGCCCAAGGCCCCCCAGAGGGACTGTGGCTGAGGCAGCAGGAGGCACTCATTGCAGGCACGGGGATGGCTGGAATGAGGCTTCAGAGGCAGAACTGGATGGGCCACCTGCCCTCAGCGCCAAGCAGGCCACACCCATCAGCCACAGCTGCAGTGCCCGCCCGCCCACGTGCCCTGCCTGAGTCATCCCCACGCCCACCAGGTGGACTCGCCCTGACCCAGGAGAACATGGAGAGGGAGCAGATGCCAAGGCAGAAGTTCTGGTGCTAACCCTTCTCTCTTATATCAGGTGCTTCCCATCATAGGCCTCCGTTTCCCCAGCTGAGAAATGGGAACCATAATGCCTACTTCCCAAGGATGCTGTGAGGAATCAAAGAGATCCTGTTGGTGGTGGAGGGGACCTAATGAATAGTCAAGTGTTCTGCTCTGAGCCCTGGGAGGGAAGGTCACAGCCAAGGCTGACCTGGGCGACCCCAAGACTCGGTATCCATCTCCTTCTGAGGGGATCAGATCCCCCTGATCTGAGAGACAGAAGCCCCCATTCAATGCTCCCACCAGAAATTATGTACCAAGGACCTCGGTGTCAGGCAGCCTCTCCTGTTTCTGGCTGTATGACCCTGGGCAAGTCATTCTCCCCAGCCTCAGTCTCCTCAGCTGTGAGATATGCATAATAAACCTACCTTGCCAAGTTCCCAAGTTACTATGGAGATTAAGTGGGAGAACACATAGAAACGGCTAGAACAAGGCCAACAGGGCAGAAAGAAAGAAATGGTGACAGCTGTTCGTTATTATTGTTTTTGTCATAACAATTCATTCTCCCAGCAACAGTCCTGGCCACCTGCCTCCCAGGCCAGAGCATCAGGGAAGACTCTGTGCCCTCCCTCCAGCTCAGGCCACAACTGTGAAGGAGGTGGAGCAAGGCTAGGGCGGCGCTGCCTGTCTCTATGTCACTCAAGAATTGCACACCTGTTCCCGCAGGCAAGATGGGACTGGGATGGAGCAGGAAGTCTTTGCTGACGGGGATTGCACTGGTGACTGATGCAGCAGGGACTTCCCCAACCGCCACGGGGCAAAGCCCTTTGATCCCTGATCACCACAACCTGCCAGGGCTGGAGAGAAGCCGGAGACAGGGGCACGCTTCTGACCATGGGACAGCAGGCCCTGTGACAAGGAAGGGACAGAAAACCTGGCTTTGAGGCCAACAGGCCTCAGGTATGAGAAATGTAAGGGGCTGCTTTTGCTGTTTAAATCAAGGGGGTCCCACAGTTCCTACACACACAATTCAAAATCTCCTCACTGCTGGGAACTCCGCATTAAAACCTAACCATGGCTCCTCAGAGGCTGTCGGCTGCTTCAGGATGAAGCTGAACATCTCTTTCCCAGCCACTGGCTGCCAGAAACTCATTGAAGTGAACGGTGAACGCAAACTTCATACCTTTTATGAGAAGCGTATGGCCACAGAAGTTGCTGCTGATGCTCTGGGTGAAGAATAGAAGAGTAATGTGGGTAAACTCAGTGGTGGGAATGACAAACAAGCTTTCCCATGAAGCAGGTATGTTGACCCGTGGCCATGTCCACCTGCTCCTGAGTAAGGGGCAAGGAGGACTGGAGAAAGAAAGCGCAGATGTGTCCAGGGTTGCATTGTGGATGCCGATCTGAGTGTTCTCAACTTGGTCATTGTAAAAAAAACAGGGGGGAGAGAAAGATATCCCTGGTCTCCCTGATACTACTGCGTCTCGTCGCTTGGAACCCAAAAGAACTGGCAAAACCCGAAAACTTTTCAATCTCCCTAAAGATGATGTCTGCAATACGTTGTGAGAAAGCCCCTAAACAAAGGTCAGAAACTTAGGACCAAAGCACCCAAGATACAGCGTCTTGTTACTCCACGGGTCCTGCAATGCAAGCGTCGGCATATTGCTCTGAAGAAACAGCGTACCAAGAAAAGTAAGGGAGAGGGCGCAGAGTATGCTAAACTTTTGGCTAAGAGAATGAGGTGGCCAAAGAAAAACGCCAGAAATAGAT